TACCAAAGAGTTCAAACCCTTCCAATTGGAATAATCCAAAATAAAAATCTGAATAAATACATGAATTTATCAGAGTATTCGACCATCAACAACAAGAGGTTTGCTACTGATCGAACCAAAGTCAAACGATCATACAACACTGAAAGATGCATAAAAGATTTGAGAACGATTCAGGAAGCGTCTAATGATGAAAAACCCAATTGGGCGAATAAAAGTAAGCAATATTCTGCATTTACAGTTGTAAGGGATTACACTTTTAAAGAGTCAAATGAAACACATTCATATTTGCTGAAGGTTTACATAAAACTAAATTCATTTTATTCAAAGAAAGACATGTTTCGATTGTTTACTTTGGTTGACTTTGCATTAAATTGTACTTTGATTGATTTGCATTAAATTGAACTTTTGAACATTGTGAAATAATGATGAAAAAACCTGCTTACTGAAGCTAATTTTACTTTTGCTTGAATACTGTTTATTATTAATTTCTTTGTTCATTCCTGAACAACAGTGGTGATTTTTTTTTCCTAAACATTTTGTTACGTAGTGTTGGGTGCATGGGGCCAAGTTTCATCTGCAGGAATTGATAAAGATTTTGGAAACTTTGATCGATGTTTCGATTTAAAAGTGAACAAATCAACAAACATCGAAACTCAATACTGTTTGGCCGGAATTAATACAGGAATGTCCAATCTGAATAAAATGTAAGGCATGATATTACTCCAGTGAATAGATTTTCATTTTCTTCGTTCGCCGTTTTCAGTGTACCCATTTGGTCAAGAGTGGGCATTTGTATTCCAAATTCTTGTGCGCCGTCACTCATAGCGACCATATTGAATGATTATTTGGATTCAAATAAAACTGTCGACGTGAGTATTGACCCAGGCTCCTGCCGTTTAAAAGACGACAACACAACTTTCTTTTTTAGCTATAAAATTGTCATGTAAGTCCTTTTCTCACCGACCTCATCTTATTGGACTAACGAAAAAATCGTTTTCTTTTCCAAAGTGCATTCCTAACAACGGTACTTGGTTTGGTGATTTTGAGTTCCATTTATGATGTTACATACACTATACGAGAAGGTAGGTGCAAAGGTGAATACAAGAATTATCGTCGATTGACTGATATCTTCATTTGTCTAGAGCCAAAAAACCCAATGTTGCTGGCCTTTTCAGCGTATACAAACGGGAAAAATCTGTTTGAATGCGAATCAAATCCATCGCCCAATGTAATGCCATGTTTAGATGGTATACGAGCAATCGCTGCATTATGGATAGTATCAACTCATTTCGAAGCCTTCATTAAGCCAATAATTGGAAACACGGAGCACGATGCATCTGTCGCTGACAAACTTGGAGCGATTTTTATTAATGGTCGTTTTTCTGTGGACACATTTTTTGTCTTGAGTGCATTCCTCGCGGCTAATAAAATGCTCAACGAACATTCAAAGTTAGTGACTGATTGAAAACTGTTCCATTTCTTCATTTGAATAATCTAAAAATCACGTTCTTTTAGAAATGGTCGACTGAACATTCCTCTGTTATACTTGCAACGCGTTCTACGCTTGTCTCCAGTAATGATAGTCATCGCACTTTTCAACCGATTTTTATTACAATTCTGTGCAAATGGGCCACTATATTATTTTTATCTCGATGAAAAGCGACAGGATTGTGAAATTGCAATGTGGGACTCATTATTGTATTTCGATAATATTTGGAAGAAACAGGTACTTCTGTGTAAAGCATTCGTAATATTTTTGTAAGCAATAATGTTATATCACATCAGTGTGTTCCTGGAGCCTGGTATTTGGCTGCAGATATGCAATTGTATCTTTTGACTCCATTTATGGTGCTACTATTGCAAGATTATCCAAAACGATTCATGGGCGTTTCGTTTGCGATCGTTTCGATTGATTTCATTTTGTCATTGAATAAGGAACTTTTTGGTTTGGGAGGGTTTGTATTTCTGGCATTATATATTCATTAGAAAATTCAATAACATGCAAAACTCGTTTAAAATTAGATACGACAACTATATGACAACACAATCTCGCATCACCCCATGGTTGATTGGAGTCAATTTTGCTTATGTTTTGTTGCAAATGCGTTCAACCAAACCTATTCGTATACCGAAGGTAATGAAAAAGTCCAACGAATGAATATTTTTTTAAATATTAAACAAATCTGCACTCCTTTCAGCTTTTGAATAGTCTTCTATTGACTGGTTCAGTGTGTGCACTTCTGTGGTTCACACATACATATAGAAATGGAGACTTCTTATGGAGGGCAAGAGCTTGGTGGTCATTATCTGTTTGCTATATCATATTTTCATGCGTAACTGGTCAGGGCGGTGTCATTAATTGGTTTTTATCGCATCCACGTTGGCAACCGATATCACGGTTAAGCTTCAATATATTTCTAATTCATCCTCTGGCTATCTGGATTATATTCTATAACCGACGGGTACCATTGTTTTTTTGGGTTATTACACAGGTAAATTCATTTAGCTTTCACTTTAATTGACAATTTGATGAAGAATACAATTTCGACACATTTAGGTGCAGGAACTGTTGTTGGTTACATCCACTGCTTGTGCCGTTGCTGTGGTGCTAGCATTGACGATTGAAATGCCGATGATAAATTTAAGTCACATTTTCTTATACAAGAAAAGATAAATATAGTGCACTCTTTGGAAAAGCAACTGTTCGGACGAACAAAATACAGACATTGAACCATTGCTAATATGTGCTTAGTAGTAAAATTTAAAAATCAAAGTTGATTTGCTGACAGCGGTCATTCCACTTGTTTCACGTTTTTGCATAAATTTTTATTTTGTTTAGTTAGTTAAAATTTTGAATAAAGTTTTAAATTCAGTTATCAACCAGAAGTCGAACGGTTTACACCTCTTTGTTGATGTTAAACCGCTTAATAGCAACCAAAATGTTCCGGAGGTAGTTGTAATTTTTGGAACGTTGTAGAGATCATTTTTTTAAAATATAAATACTTTTCATAGCACCGGATAAATATTTCGTTCTTTTTTCATCAATACAAAATCAAGGCTACCAGTCTAACATGCAAGATTGGGGTGCTGACCATCCATACAGATTTTCATGGGACAGTACGGATTTTTTTCGTGTCTCGACATATCCCGATTTGTACGGATTTTTGAAAATTTTCGAAAATATGAAAAAAATGTATTAACCAGAATTGTAGAATCGCGAAATTAACGATTGATTCGAATGTTTCATTCATCGAACCATTGAAAATGAATACAAAAATGTGATCAACACTAATACTGCATCAGCTGTTTTCGCCCTTAGATTATCTAAAAACGTTCTTTGGCCGTTTTGATGTGAGACATAAACATTTTATCAAATCATCGCCATCAAATATTTACATAATGCAAGAGCAAAAATAGCCGATTAAGCGGCAGAGTCGCTCATGAAATCATACACTAAGAAACGAATTTCAACTTTTGATTTGCGCGAGCAAAACGGACCATACTACGTTGTAGAGGACCTTCCCCCGATCTCAAAACCATATTCCGTTTCTCTAGGTTACGGCACGACTTAGTGCACTTTGGTTTTATGTAGGTTTTTTCTGAAAATCGACGTTCTCTGTACACATCTAAGGCTGAAACTATGTCTGTAGACTAGCTCGCTCCAAAAATAAAATGGCTCCGAATTGTGGAAGGAAGTACCTTTCAAACGCGCCGTAGACCATTAGAATCAGTGCAGTGGTTAGAATTTTATAAACCATAAATATGAGGAATGAACATTGAAACTGGTCGATTTCACCAACTACCGGATTAAATATACATCAAATTGGGAGTAATTTTTGCCAGTTTCAAAGTTTTATCGTAAAGAGCATTGAATTTAGATAAATTTGGCTACAGTCAGATCTATCGTATGACCACCAACAAATAAGTAACAGCTGTACATAAGCGCTGGCGAACGTGAAAAATGAATAAAAATCAGAAATAAATGCAATCCAATAATCATGTTCCGAAGATCGAAAAGTCATAAAACTTCGGGAATCTTATTTTTTCATCTAAATCCGATACCAAACCATTTGGCTACTACCAGTTGATGTTGGCAACAGAGCACCGGCTGCTATTGTTTCGCCGCAACCGAAACCACATAATCCACATGCAATTAAAAGACCAGAGTTTGACTTATCCGCCAGATATATGCTATGGCATAAAAAAAATATGCGCATATTTTTTGGTACATTTGGATTTTGTGACTAACTTACCAAGTAAATTCATGTGCATCCCACGATTTTTTGTGGATCCCAGGATTTTTTGTCCCAAATTCGTGGTATCCATATGAATTTACATGGTAGTTAGTCACAAAATCCAAATGTACCAAAAAATATGCGCATATTTTTTTTATGCCATAGCATATATCTGGCGGATAAGTCAAACTCTGAAAAGACCACATGCAACACCAACGATGATTGAACGGCAAAATAGCTCCGGCGGATTGAGCACACTGAATAATCAATCACCATTCAAACGACAAACATCTTTGCGGTTAAATGATCTGCCATCGAATATT